TTCACAGATGTGTTGTTGTTGATCTATGGTAGTCTCTTTCTGAGTAAGTAAAAAATTAAAGCTATCCCTGGCCGTGAAGGTCCGTAAGGTTGTGAGACGTTGAGGGTCCCACATTATCTAGACAATCGGCTCAAAGATGGCGGTAAGGTTGTCAGCTTTACGTGCCGGCCGCTCTTTACCCACAGGAAAATTATTTAATTAATTCCTGGTACTCATTTCTGTTAGAGGCTGAGTCGACCCCGGGGCCGTAGTGCGGTTGGAAGGATTATGTCAATTAAAAAAAAAATCCAATGACATCCTCGGGACTTGAAACCGTGACCTTCCGGCTTGTAGCACAGCCCCTCTACCAACTACGCTACCGTGCCCCCCCCCCCTCTTCCTGAGTGGCGTCTATTATTGTCTGAGTGTTTTGGTGTGCCGTCGCGAGACTGTCAGAGCTTGAATTAGAGCACTGTCTGTGAGGGAGTTTTTAGCTGGTAAACAAATAGCAGTGCTGGAACATTCTCCCTTTTCACCGGATCTAGCTCCAATGACTCTTTTCTGTTCCCGAAGTTAAAGGAAATTTTGAGAGGAAGGCATTTTAATGACACTTATGACATCAGAAGTAATACGACGGCAACTCTGAAGACCATTCCACAAAACCAGTTCCAAAATTGTTTTGAGGGGTGTACTAAGCGCTGGCATCGGCGTATAGCTTCCCAATGGGAGTACTTTGAAGGCGACCACAGTGATATTCAGCAATTGGGGTATTATGAGTTCAAGAAATTTATTGTCAGACCACATACTTTATGCCGTGACACCGTGTAGTCTAGTGGATATTTACAGAGTTTATGAACATAGAAGTAGCAACATTTCCCCGAAAAGTAAATGTCTATGACACTATACAGCGTCACAATTACAAGAGACAGTAATCTTCAACTACTGCCAGTGACTACAGCGACACGCACATCTCAGAACATTAATGCTAGTCATGTGCATAGGCCAACATTCGACGCTCACCCTACTCTACGTGGTCGAATCGATTTTCAATAATTACCACCGTACCCCCCGCCCCTTCCACGTGAGTATAATTTCCACAGATTGACTCCGCCACTCCTCGATCTGCATGAAGCAACGCTGGACGGAAGGCCAATTTGATACGTTATAAACACCAGCTACTTACCCTAACATATAAGTTGTCCCTGTGCCTAATTAACTATGCATAAGGCCATGAAGGCGCACGGGGAAGTGGAGGTATAGCTCCACCATTCTTGCCGTCGGCATTAGACGGAGGTGAGTGGTCAGTTTCACGCCTCGGCTCCCTTACCTCCAGGGAAAAACAATCCCTGGTACTCATGCAATCGCTAAACACTTTAAAGAAGAAACAATCGTCTCAGGTGATCAAAAAGAAGGAACTACAGCGTGGTCAGGGTTCTTGGCTACAGACCCAGAGGTCCCGGGTTCGATTCCCGGCGCTACCAGATTTTCTGAGAAGTAGTGCGTCTGGAACGGGGTCCACTCAGCCTCGTGAGGATAACTGAATAGCAATTTCAAGGAAATAGCGGCTCCGGTCTAGAAAACTGAGATTAACGACGGTGGGGATTCGTTGCGCTGACAACGCAACACCCTATATCAACTAAAGTTGGCTCTAACTTCGCCGACAAGCGGCGGTCGCTCGGTCGGTATAGTTCTCTTGCGGACTAAAGCCACGGAGATTTTTTGTTGTTGTTGTGACAGAGACTGAAGATCAGGTGCTCGAGCAACTGAAAACGATGTGACGGGTCTTTGCAACGGCTGGTGTGCCTGAGAAAAACCGTAAGACGCCTCTAAATAACTGGCTGGTGTCCACCCCACAAGGCACGCACTTTGCCATGCAGTGAAGGACAATGTAATGATGAGAGGTGGGCGGAGAAAGAACTGAGACGCTTAATCCGTCGATTAGAAAACTCGACAGGCAGGCAAACCGCGTCTGTAAAGTTCGCCGAGCCGGCAAATTAGATCAGGACGGCGAGGCGCAGGCGTGATCCCAACCAACGCTGGCAATGATTACGGGAGGCCGCCTGCTGTACGCCACTTGCTCAGTCCAAAGCTCCCCCGGCCCTGAAGGCGCCTTGTTCATAATCTCGTTACTTTCTAGAACGCGGTTTCACTTTGTCAGAAATTTCTGACACCAACTTTCCTTTCAAATTCTTCAAACTTCTCTCGAAGTTGACTACAATACCCACTAACCATGCAAACTGGATCACGCTTCTGACCCAGGTTCGAACCTCGGGGCGATACACCGACTATACTGACCAAGACGTTTCGTGTATTTCCTCAGTCCCCTCACGCAAATACCAGGAACATATCTTAAAATTAAGCTATAAATTATTATTTCCACATCCATCCCAATTCATTATCTACTATCAAAGAACATCTGACCCCGTACAGTCTTGGATACTAACAGCGCCGTTAAATAAGCAACACACAAAACAAAAAGAAACAAATACACCCTAAATTACAAGATTTTATGTTATCACAGGGGCGAATATTAATATTACAATCTTCTGAAATCTGACTCTATAAAGTCTAGTAGTTTGGTATGTAGGTATGAGAAAACCTACAGTCTCCAACATCAGTACAGCAGTGAGCTGAGAGGGGAATACAATACAAAATGTAAAAAAGGAGGGCTGAGATTGGGGACATGAGAAAATGGATAAGAACCAATGGCCCTAAAAATGGCTGTTTTCTTATCGGGAATAAGTAGAAGAAGCATTCCTAAGTACCTACTGGGCAACAGATTAATTTACAAGCAACATGTTCCAGACCTACTCTCCTGCAGCACACACTCCAAACAATCAGACCTTGGGTTGTTAATGTAGATGTTACTTGTTACTGTTACTCTTTTTTGAAGAACAGATTACTGGAATACAGATTCTGTAATGTCAAATTTGTCGGATATAACCTCAAACGTTTACACTATCTCCATGTTTATAACTGTCAACTTACAAACAACAATTCATATAAAATTTGTAAGAATATTTATAATCTATCTTTCATACAAATTTTCATGTTCATAACTCCAATCATCAATTAGTTATCACTGCCAAAAAAATGTTCATAACAGCCATGTTCATGATTTATATTCTACAAAAAGAAAGAAGTACCTTAACAAATGTTACATATTTTTTTGGAAAAACTATTATTATACAAAATTTCAAAGACAAAAAAAAATGTGGTTCTAGTGTTGCTTCCACCTTACAAGCTCGTGCATTACTGACTGTAGGAAACCAGCAAGTGGAGTAGAAGACTGGTGTGACATCCAATGGGATGACGTTCATGTCGAATTTTATAAAATTGTGACAAGGTGGTTGAAAATTTCAAGGGACACACACACTGATGACATAGTAACCTCATGGACCTAGTTTTTATCCTTAAAGTTTAAAGTAATCCAAAAAAATAACAAATGTGAATCTGCCCGTTTTTAAGTATGATGTCAAACATAAATGAAGATAAATTTCTAAAAGTTCTCTTAACTGAACCCTAGATGGTAGTGGTCAACTTCACATCTTAGCTATTTAACCCACAGCAGAAAACCCCTGGTATCAACTGGACAGAGCCAGGTTGTCCTCAGAGTCTCTTGAAGTGATGAAGAAAGAAAATTTCTGTCCCTGCCAAGAAGTGAATCCTGGTCATACAGCCAAAGTCAGTCCCATTACCAACTGAAATACTTCGGCTCTATTATTGTGCATCTTATTTATCCACGTACGTCCATAATTTCAACTATCACAGATTACAGACGCATTCACTTTGACAGATATACTTTTATTTCCCCAAATATAAGCCAGCTTTCAATAAAAGCAGCCATGACCCCAAAATTATTTGGTCTTGGACTTAAAAACAAACAATGCACAACTGTTTGAATTTCAACAATCAGAACAGCTATGTGTAAACAAGTTTCATGTTACTCCATATAGTTTCAAACATTACCTAAAATGCATCAATGTAATTCTCTGGGCTGATGAGAGCTCTAATGATGTCACAAAATTAAGTACGATGGATTTCCATTAAAACTCTACTAGTGGGTAACAGTAACTTGAACTGAGTCAACAACAAACTATGTCTCTTCACCAGATCTGAACAACTGAATGAAGTTCCTTTCTCTTTAAATACTGTGTCTAAGCTGCATCCTGATTTTAAAGTAATCAACTTGGGGTAAAAGTACAGACATCTCATGGAAATCTAAACAAGTGGAAACGGCACAGAATCAGATCAATACTTAATCAATATTGCACTGCAATACCCCCAATATATTACCACTCTTGTCTCCCTTTCACAAGGTTGAACCCATTCAACATTTTACTTACTTACGGAGCTGAGCCCTTCTTGAGGAGAAGCCAAATCTGCAAAGACTCAAAAATTTCCCTGCATTTTATGGAACCTGAAGGTTCATTACTGTGTTCACAAGAGCCCTCCACTGGTCTCTATCCTCAGCCAGATCAATCCAATTCATACCATCCCATCCTACCTCTCTAAGATCTATTCTAATATTGTCTTACTGGTCTTACCAATGGTCTCCTTCCTTCCGGCTTTCACACCAATGTCCTATATGCATTGCTCCTCTCCCCCATTCGTTCTACATGCCCTGCCCACCTCATACTCCTTGACTTGATCATTCTAATTATACTTGGAGAAGAGTACAAGTTATGAAGCTCCTCATTATGCAGTTTTCTCCAACCTCCTGTCATTTCATCTCTCTTCAGTCCAAATATTCTCCTCTGCACCCTGTTCTCAAACACCCTCAGTCTATGTTACTCCCTTAATGTCAGAGACCAAGTTTCACTACTGCAAATATGGCTCTGAAAAGACCAGTGAAGGACAAACTTGCTTCATATCAAACACAATAACATGATTCTGCTAAAATGCAATTAATTACAGCACCAAATACACATAATAAAAACATCTTTTTATATTCCTGTTTCTGTAGCTGAAATTACTGATTAAAAAAAAAAGACATTTTTAAGCTGAAACATGCGTCTTACCTGTCTGAACTTTAGGTGAATATACAGGGGATGCCGCTGCTGCTTGAACAATGGCATCTTGCGAAGTCACTTCTTCTCCTCTGTTCTTCACATATTTCCAGTCTTCGCGAAGCTTCTTTATTTTTTCCTGGAAACGTGAACAAAAGTTGCAAAAGTTCATACACACAAAACAGAATAATTTAGATGATTTGACAAAAGTCAGATTCTGCTCTTGCATCACCTGTAGTTCCACTGATACTGGCTGCCTGGCTCCTTCACACTCCTTTTCCAAGTTTGTAAAATTCTCCAATGCTTCAGTCACTTCAGTTTCACGGTCACGGACAGAAACCTGAAAGATGAACAAGAACTGTGTTAGCTTCTATATGGAGGAGAAGGCCTCCAGATATGCAGGGTAGCTGCGAATATACTGAATAAACAGCCTCAGACATCCGACAATGGGTAGTACTTCAGTGTAGTGGTTGGACATGGGGCTATACTGCTCACAGTAAAAAAAAATAACTATTTTGAAAATGTTTCACAGGCCTCAGTCTTGAATGGGTTCTTTACATAAATGACATAAGCTGAGAAGAACAGGACTGCATATAGGATTTTGGTGGGAAAGCCATCAGGAAAGAGACCACTTGGAAGACCTAGACATAGGTTGGAGAATAATATTAAAATGGATCTTAGACAGGATTGGGTGGTATGGACTGGATTGATCTGGCTCAGGATAGGGTCAAGTGGAGGGTTCTTCTGAATAGGGTAATGAACCTGCAGGTTCCATAAAATGTTGGGAAATTCTTGAGTAGCTGTGCAACTGGTGGGTTTTTAATAAAGGTTCAGCTCCATGGTGTTACTCAGCTGGTTCTATAGCAGAATAATCTTCTCCTCTGGTTATCCATATAGGTGTAAATACCAACATTTGCATTTAACACTTTAAAGCTTGAAATTCATCTAAATAATATCCAAGAATTCATTTCTACATCATGTAAAACATGATGCATATCTATTACAAAGACTAATTGGTTAACGCTGTTTAGGGAGAAATCATTAGTTCTATATAATTTTCTCACTCTTACGAAACAGTAAAACTGAAAACGTTAAAAGTCTAGGAATTATAAATGATTGTTAAGATAGGTACTGCACTGTTAAAAATAACTGGGGTTAAAACAGTCTGTTCATTCTGCTGCAATTTCAGGTTTATCAAACACTCTGTGACCATACATCTCCAAGAACACATTTCTTCTATAAGAATTTGAAAGTTTTCACTACTCTGCTTGATGGCTGTCAGTGACTATGTTGCTCTGAAATGCTAAACTGAATTTCATCAGACAACACAGCACTGCATCCCAAATGACAGACCTCTTCAAAGTGATGCTGTGATAACCTCAAAGTCTACAAAAAAGAACTGGAAGAGAGTTAATTTTGAAGAGTGCTTCTGACGACCCAGTCTCATCTGAGAGTGAAAGTGAGCATCAGGAGGACAATGTAGGAACAGGCGATAATAATAATGTGAGTGCAAACTGTGATAAGATTTGGTAAACACAAGATTCACTTAGAATCTTAGTTGCATTCATTCTTTCACTTGAGGCCTGAGGAGGCTGGGGATAAACAAGGTACCTTATATACAAACTGTCATCTTATTCCCTCTCATTACTGAAGTCATTCAACTGTTTGCAGTAGAGACTAGTGAACATTAGAACCAATATTTAGCCATATTTGACAATGATGACAGATTCTCGTGACTTTCTGACATAACTGTCCTGGAGATGCATGCCTATTTGGCAATACCAACATTGAATATACTCATGTCATAAGCTCTTTGAACATCTGAACTTCCATGCCTGTTCAAAAAAATGTAAATTGAAGAGGTAGTAAACCTTTCTCGCAATAAAGTTAAGAGAACAACAAGGAAAACCTGAAATTATGACAACAAGGATCTGGTTTGAGGGTTATGTGAATGTTAGCAAAATGTATGGGCAAAAGACAGCAATTACAACCCATCTTAATCCTTACCATGATGTTATCTATGACTCTCTTCTTCTCTTTGTCTGGAAGTTCCTTGCTTATGTTGATTCTTGTTCTGGTCTCCATGACCCAAGCAATGACAGCATCCAAATGAGTTGTATATTTCTTCAGGGAGGACAATTTGCATTCTATATATTCATGGTGGTCTGACAAGCCAGATGAGGCCTAAAAACAATGATTTAAGGTTAGGTTCAATGGCTAGGTGAATGGAGAGGGGAAGCATAACAGCTTGAAATGTGAAGGTCAATAGCTGGGCCTTCTTTACAGAACTTAATACAGCTACCACTTATTTATTACAATTAGATAATGACAGGCTGATGTTTTAGATTTTGGACTGTGTGCAGTGTGACAGCTACGTAGTAAAAATATACCTGATGGTGGCCAATTACAGCCAAAACATGTAGTGTAGAGGAAGAAAAGACAAAGATCTACAACCAAATAAATTGTTGCATTCACAACGGCATTTGTATTATTACATATAGGAGACAGAATACAATGAACTGCACGTACCTTCTCCATTGCAGTGCTAAGATTCCTCAACCGTTCAGAATTTTGTACTTGCTTCAATTTCTTCAGCTTCTCCAACTCCCTTTTCATCTCAACTAATTCTTCCTTGCGAACCTGGAAATAAATTTGGGGGGAGGGATGTTTAAAAAACCTTCAATTCAAATAAACTTAAGTCCCAACTAAACAAATCAATCAGTCACTCACTGTTATCCTTCTATGAATAGAACATTCGGTTTCATTTGTGTCAATTCCACCTTTTCTACTTCATTCCCTCAACAAGTCTGATCAACACACCTAAAATAAAACGCTCAAGAACTGAGTTATCAAATTATTTACAGCAAGGTCCAAATTAAAATGTATAGTTCATTTAATTACACTGCCAGTAACTAAAAATATACAGCAATGAATAGTTAGACAATGATGAAGGCTAATGAACTGCAAAGGATGCAGAAAGAAGCTGTCATAACCTAATTTCAGGTACTATCATGGCATTTTTCCTGGAGTAACTGATGAAAACCATGAAGAACCTCAAGCCCATACAGTTGGTATCCCAGCTGAGATTCAAACTGTGTGCCTCTAAAAAACATACCAGAATCTATACCACGTCAGGCAACTTACTTGGGTTCATTTGTAAGGGTCCAACTTTTCTTCTCCCCCATCTTATTCACTCAATAAATAAATTAATTATTCAGTTCTTCATAATTTCAATACAATGTTCATAAACCAATGTCGAAGTTTAAACATTACATGCTCTTTTAAATACTGACCGACTTAGTTACATACTAAAGACCAAAGTAAGGTAAACAGTACACTTCAAATGCAGCTACAACACAAAGGTTGTCACTGAATATATAGATCTGGTGACAAGTTCATTCACTTACCAGCAAGTTTCTGTCTCGTGTACATCTCCCATCCCACTCTGAAACCCATCTCAAGATTCAACTTTACAACAACCACTCAAAAGGAAAACAAAAACACCTGCATGCCATGCTGGCCACCAACTTTCATTAAACCCCACCATCAGTTTACAGAACTATTTATATCACTTGGCACACACCTCAGAGAGACTGCGGAGTGAGTTTTCTCTTGTCTAAACCTATCATCACATTCTCCACATTACATTGTGCAGCTCTTATTTTGTTTGGCACAATGACAAGAATGAACAACCAGACCATGACTAAACTTTACAGTGTGGGATCACTTGAAGCCATTAACAAATTGCCACAACAAACGGCAACTCATCCCCCACACCGCTTCACGTCACGTTATCAGAGTTCAGTAATTTTTAAACAACATAATTAGAAATATATTACATATTCTTGAGTATTTTTAGCTCAGTAAGTACTCCAAACAGATTCTAACTTGTATTCAGGAGGTGCCCAGTTCAAACCTTGACTGGAACACTGACTGTACTGACTGAGGTTTTCCACACTTCTCCTCAGTTCCTCCGGGCAACTCCCAAATTGCACCACATCATTTCAAATTCATCATTCACTACCATCTAATCATTTGATGCTATATACTTTGAGTTACTGACAGTAAAAGGTAAAGTTGTTCCTGTACTTAACTAAGCAAGCACTACACCATGAAGGCGTATAGGGGAGTGGATGTATAGATGTATGTTTTCTTGACCTCAGCACTAGGTGGAGGTGAATGGTCAGCTTCATGCCACGACCACTTTACCTCCGGGGAAAGAGTCCCCCACTACCCATCGATAAAGGTGAGAAAAAAAAGCTATCCCTGTAACAGGCCCTGGAGGACCATTGGGTTGTGAGACATCAAGGCTCCCACATTTTCTAGACAATCAGCACACAGATGTTGGTGAGGTTGTCAGCCTTACATACCGGCCACCCTTTACCCCCCAGGAAGATTCCTGGTACTCATTTCTGTGAGAGACTAAGTTGACCCCAGAACCATAGTGCAGCTGGAAAGATTACATCAACTGAAAATCCAATGACCTCATTGCAAATCAAACCTGCAACCTTCCGACTTGTACCATAGTACCTACATCAACAACACTACGGCGTGCACCAAGTTACTGATGGTATCATTACTTAAACTACAAATAAAACTGAACAGTACTGAAAATCTTTACTAAGTCCAACATAAAATAAAATCTAACTTGCAATACATCTGTTAAACAATTCTGGCAGAGATCTTACATACAATTTTGAGGATAACATTTTCTTATGCATATTTCTTAGCACAATGTTGGTAATGCTGGTAATTCAAAACAATTTAATTAATTCCTTTGGAACAATCTGAAGAAATAAAACTGTAACTTTGACACTTCTTTCTCTAGCTTAACATTCAAATGATATGCAATATATAAACATGTGCAACCATCAAAACAATCAAGGGGTACTATGCTGTGAATAATGACACAAACCATTAATCTGTATTCAAGTCACACACAATATATGACAATATAGTGACTAGAGTTGAAGCTTGATGTTTAAGGAATAAAGGTTCAATTCCCAGCAGGGTCAAAAGGTTTTTTTCTCTTCTCCAAAGCATTCAAATCAGCTGTGGGACTCCCCAACTTCCTGTTCAGTGGGTGCTGGGGGGCTCTGTACCCAGAAGTAAAGGGGCTAGAGCATGAAGCTGACCACTCACTTCCACTCACAAGGGAATGGTCTGATCCAATATGTCGAAACCTGCCCCCCCCCCTTTTTTTTCCCCCTGCAAGCGTACACACAACAAAATCCACTGTCACAATTTTAGCTGCTAATACGCATTGCAAGTATTTTTTAAAAATTGCTCAACATGGCCAATACTGTACCCTGCCAGACCCTTGGAGAAATGTCCACCACTAGCAGAGCAGTACACTACATGGAACATGGCTGACTCACAGCCTAGGCTGGGGTTGTACAAACCTCTGATACATGTGGTTCTGCGTACAGAAAAAATGAGTAACTTCATCAATTTCTAAAAAAATACTTGCACTATGTATTAGCAGCTAAAATTCTGACAGTGGATTTTGTTGTGCATGTGCTCTTGCAGTGTCGGATAAGACCATTCCCTTGTTAGTGCAGAGATGAAGTATCGGTAGAGCTATACCTCTACTCCTCCATACATCTTCAAGACAAGGTGTTTAATTATGCACAGGGACAACCTCACTCTTAACTACATCTAAGGAAAGATAACAGAAGAATAGACCAAACATGTCCTGAATAACACTTGTGAATGTTTACACATACCTTAATCATACTTAGTCTGACAGCCAAGGAAGTGTCATCTGAAGGATTTGCAGTTGATCCTAGCAAGGACTTGACTTGATCCAAACAAACCTGGGTTGAGTCGACAAAGAGTTTCATCTCCTCCTTCAGATTAGCAGCCGCCTCCATGGCAGTGATCCTATCATAAAAAGAAATTATTTCAGTTTCTATTTTGGCAAAAATAATGTCATAATTTCATTCAACACAATGTCCATCACTTATGAACAATGGGTTGATGCATGGTGTTCAAACTGAAAAATGGTAACAGACCTATGTGATCAAGTAAGCAGCATTTCTGTTTCATATTTGGGAGGTCCCAGGTTCAAATCCAGATATATAGACTGGCTATCATGATTCAGGTTGTGTGTGGATTTCCTAGGATACTGAACATATCATTAAATAAAAAATAAATAACAAATAATAAACTACATAAACAAATTATAAATGACAATAATACATATTTGCAGTAAGTCTCAGGTACTTGATGCAGAATACAGTAAAATACATTACAATTTAACAACAAATAAACTTGAAATCTAAATGGAAGATATGAGCATCTTCTTATAAATGTGGTGTAATTTTCTGTATTCATTCTCATTCCCTTATTTGAAACACAAGAAATTTAGTAAAAAGAGTATCTAATTTTAAAACATTTAAAATTAATTTTACAACTATTTACAAAGACAGGAATCCATCATACAATTTGATGTAGATAGAGAAAAAGTCATTATCACTCCGTCAACTTTAGTAATGTAATTCCTACTCATTTCACTCTCCACATAGCAATTTCTCTGTATTTCAGTCTACAAATGTCTCAGCCATTTCTTCATTAAGTCAAATCTAATAAATTTCCACTACATCTGTTTATGAACTTACAACATCAACAAATATGACAAGATACCAACTAGCAATACAAACTGTCAAGTCTTCTCCCTGTATCAGCCTTTGCAACTAATTCACACATTGCAGGGCTGTTTACTCACTTGAGAGCAGCTGCATCATTAGGTGGGGGGTGGGGGGAGGTGGGGAGTTAGTGGCTCAACAAGATGCTAAAGAAAAAAGGACATGGAAGTGTTTTTGCCACTACCGAGGCTGTTCATGTGCTGTCATCACTTTAGAAGATCACATTACCATATGACTGGCTCGTCAAAGAATGAAGTATGAATGGCTTCAATGTTACTCAATACTGTGAGGGAGAAGAAAAAGAAGTACATAATTCAACTGATGTTGAATAATCCATTTCTTAAATACCATCAAATACAAAACTCTTTTTACTTTAACCTTTCAAATGAACATGTTATGACTATTCCTCAGCTACCATCAGGGACTCAAACTATGCAAAAAAAGAAAATGCTGGAATGACTAATTTATGTTGGTTCTTCTGATTTTTGGCATAAATTCTCTAACTTCCTCACAATTACTGTTTGCCATTAATACCATTTAAATTATACAATTCTCAATATAATTTAAAAATACTTTCACGTGGCAGAGTGACCACATACTGGATTTGGACTGGTAGTTGGATTTATTGGATACTTACAACTCCTAACTACAACTAAGGATTATGATCTCACTGTTCTACACACTTCACAAATCACTATGGGCCACACTAGGTCTTCTCAGTCTGTTACAGTCTTCATTAGCTGTTGCTTGGTAATGGTGTTCAATGGCAGACGTGACCCTTCCTCTGGGTTCCTGATCAGTCCCCAGCTTCACTTACTGCTTCTCACAGCAACAGCTCAAAACAACTGAACCCCAGCAATTACCTAACTAACTCACCAACTGACTGACTCTCCAGCCAACTAATCAACTAACTCCAGCTCCTAACTTTTCCTGCTTACAATACCTCAGCACAGACCACACAGAAAACACTGCTTCCCTTTATTGTTGAATCCTATTGTTGCAGTGGAACCATAACTTAGTTAACAGCTACAGTACAACTGCACCTTTCGAGGTCATTGCCTAGAAATGAGTACACATGCCACAATACTGTTATTTATAAAAACTTAATGAATACATTTATGCATAATTTTGCATACACAGTAACACGCTATAGCTTCTGCATACACGGAATCATGATCATAATATCCAATTCTGTGGGGACAAGGGGCACACAGGTTTTAAGGTCATCAACTGCATAAATATTTTTCATGAAAATGACAACTGACAACAGAGAAACTATTTTTGAGAGATCCACCTACTGGCAGAACTAGCACTACAGTAAACCCTTGCTAATCCAGAGTAACTAGGGAGTCAGGTCATCCAGATTTAGTCATAATCCAGATTAGTGAAGCAAAAAGTAGCCCTAAAAGACAAAAAAACTTACAACACAAGTAAACTGAAAATTTAATAATATAAGTAGCTCTGATGAAAATAAATAACAAAATATAACTGCCCTGCACAACTGGAAAACAAGGGTAAGTATAGATTCTGACAAGTAAAAATGAAACAAATGCAGTTACACTTACTTATCCCTCCTTGTGGTGAGCTCTGCCAGAACAACCTGCCACCGATGTCGTAAATCATCAACCATACTTTGGATATTTGTGCTCTCTGGTGGCTGCGATCGCCCCACAATTTCACGACAAGCTAGCCCAATGTTGCTCATTGTTCTGCAAAACACATAATTGAGAGAGGAATACAATTCATGCACAGCTGTCTCACACAGTATAGGTTCATTAAAATGTTTGTGTCCTGGGAAGTGACACCATGTAGTCTGGTACACAGTCACGTTTCAAAAGGAAACTGCTGCATAAAGCCTCATGGAAGAGTTCTCTTCTACCCAGAAAATGGTGGCAGCGCATTCTTCTAAAGGGATCTTCAGACTACACTGAATCACAACCCAGAAGATGGTAATTTCACTGCCATAAGAACCATCCACATGTTTATATACTGTAACGTGTATGGAGTAATACTTCCATCGTAACGCAACAACAGTGGGCCGTTGCCTGGGAAAACAAACACGTATCCTAGGAGACATTGCATGACAACAGAAGGTTCACTGCATAGCAACAGCCGAGGGTATCAAAGGTCAGCTTCGATAAGAGACCAAGCAGTTCTCAGTGTAGTGCTGAGAAGAGCAGAAGCCAGCTCACACCAGAAGAAGGGAATAGAAGTCTTCACCGAGATTGGTGGTGCAAGAAGTGATTATAACAGTAAATTAGTGGATAATAACCGTACTTGCAAGTGTGTAAAAGTGTGGGTTCAATAAATAATCGCTGAAACACTTGCACTTCCTGTTGCACAATCCAAGCATTCACAGAGCTGTCGCCTAGCAACACGCCAATACAATCCGCAACTCTCACGTTGCGCGTGCCCCGAGGCCTCTGTGGCTCAAGAGTTCCTGCATAGAGCCAATACGCCACAATATATATATGAGGTAAGACCTCTAACCAAATACTAAAAGACATAGACACTTTCATGCACTGTATGTATGAGAAGCCAATTCTGAAAAGGAGGACTGAATACAAATAATCTGTTTCCCTTCACTTTTCTACAATCAAGCAATGCCACATGGCAGCAACTCAGTTTCAAGCATCTTTTGCCTGAAGCAAATTGTATATATTAACAGTTCAATATAAAAACAAAGAAATCAGAAAAGAAAAAAGATAAAAGATTGTGTGAATTTTTACAAAATGTGAATAATATACTGCATTTACCNAACAGTTATATATAAAAAAAAAAAGAAATCAGAAAAAAAAAAGATAAAAGATTGTGTGAATTTTTACAAAATGTGAATAATATACTGCATTTACCTATTTCATGGAATAAAGTTTGATATTTTTAAGTTTCTGTAAGAATATCCACACAATTTTCATCAAATTTGGAACAAAATTTGGAATAAAATTTGTGGAATTTTATTTTAAATAAATATTTTAAATATTAAATATTTTAAATACGGAACATGAAGTTACGTTCAAGTAAGAGTGAATGTGAAAAATACAGGAAGTACAAACACTTGAAAAAGATTATGTCCTCTGTGCTTAGCTCTTACAAGCATGATGTGGTTTCCTATGCTACATTTTTATCAGATTTTTAGTATGACTTTTTGGAAGGATACTATTATACAACAGCATTGGGATATTTATCACACATACCTTTCCATCTTTTCTTTTTTCCAAGGACCATGAGCTCCTAACACAACCATTATGAACAGCTATGATCATGAATATACCTGTGCTTCATGGTGACTTGCTTTTCCAGGTCCTTTTGTTTCGCTTTTGCATCAGCAAGTGGTAGATCTGTGCTCTGCCATTCACCAATCATTCTCTCTGCAGTAATTAGCCATTCTCTGAATGTCTGACAGTTGTTATGAAGGTTCCGCCACGTATCCATACATTTTAACCATCGACTGTAAAGTTGAACAAATATTAAGTGACAGTTTATATATATCTCTATAGCCTACTGCAGTCTTCCCATGAGATACTATCTTATCATGATGTGGAGGTCCGCATACCCTGGTCACCTGGAAAACTATGCAATAGCAGGGGTGTAAGATCCTGAAAGTGTGTTGCACAAGCTAGAAGGGTTGAAAGGTCAAGGCCAGACAAAAGGTAGTCCCTAGTCCCCCATATCTGGGGGTACACACAAGGTCAACAATCTCAAATCAGAAAACAAGATACAGCAAATTCCAATTCTCATATACTTTTCTGAATGTAGTGTGAAAACCTGGAAAACAATTCTCAAGTTCTTCCTGATTTATTACGCTTTAAGTGAAAGGTTGTATTTCTGCTTTATATGTTCAAATATCCTCCAGCCCAAGTCAGTAGGAAATTATATGTCCTGCACCAGTGAAGGGTTAAAAAGATATTTCACATGACATTCATCTTTTGACATTGAACACAATCAAAAAAAAAAACCCTGGTTTTAGTCCACAATCGAACTATACCGACCGAGCGACCGCCACTTTTCAGCGAAGTTAGTGCCAAATTTAGCTGACAGAGGGTGTCACATGATCAGCGCAACAAATCCCCACAGCCGTTAATCTCAGTTTTCTAGACCGGAGCCACTATTTCCTTGAAATAGCTCCTCAATTGGACACAAACAAGTCAAATTTCGAAACAAAGCTCCTGGATAGTTCACAATCCTGATAATCCATCACCAGTGAATCAGAAGTCTGCTGCATGTTATGAAACCTAAAGAGAAAAGCCAGACGAGAGAAGAATGGTCATTTCTCAGAAAGAAGACTAAGGTTCTCAGACAGTGACACAACCCT